AAATAGTATTATTTCGTTTATATTTTTCGTCTAGCAAAGTGCAATTAGTCAAACAGACAAATGTAATATCACGTATTTGGCGAGCCGGGGCCTTCTGCTAAGTATGAAAAATTTTCCCGCGCGTTTTTCGCCCCAGTTGAACCAAACCAATCAGAAGCGAGCAAGTCACGTGACCCATGCGACTCTTTCACTCTGAGGCTTTTTAGGTCCACCAGCCGGCACCACCCGGAGGAAGAGGACCGCGGGAGCAGCCAGGACCAGGCGCACATTAGGCCCTTCAGTCCTCACCGTCGGAGCCGGTCCACCAGCCGGCACCCCCCGCAGGAGAACCGCCCTGAGGAGGACCCAAGGGAGGACCGCGGTAGCCCAGAGCACTGCCCCACAAGTCCTCTTCTGCTGTCCACAAGACCGCTACACCCAGAGGAGGTGAATAGCAAGGATGTACCTGACAGCAACCGCAACCCTCCACCTGCAAAGACTGCAGCCGCTGCAGCCACGGCAGACACATTAGTTAAAAGCACTAAGCCTTCCACCATCAACTGGAGGGAGAATACTATAGGTTTGGTAAGGAAGTTGTCAAATTTGTTTTGCATAGTCCACCTTTGCTCTCATCTGTGTTTTCAAGCTAAAATTATTCCATTCTATTCACAGGAGTCTATAAATTTCTCACCATTTGGTGAGAATTTGGGCAAGCCGAAGCCTTATGAAGCTTTCAAAGTAAGTCTTCAGTACATTACATCAGATAAGTCAATAACAAATACACTTTCTGACCAGCACGACACGACAAGACTTAAGCTTTGTTTTCTTTAGTATGTGAAACAATTCCAGCAAAGGAGACGAAAGTCTCATCTTGCTGCCTCCCTGATCTTACAGAGCTAACGCACATTTTTTATTTGTAGGCTGATGTAATGGGCACAAGGCTTCGAACTAAGCTTGCTGCATCTTCAACAGTTACAAGCAAGCAGCCAAACGCAACAGGTGCAACTGCAAGCGATGAGCCAAGCAACACAATTGTGCTTAATGATACGGATGAGTCAAATAATGATGGTACGATACAATTTCATTCTTTTAATTACTGCCCTTTATTCTGTTTCATCTTGAGATACCTCTCCTTAATGCATTTGTAGATGAAGATTTTGATCCCACATCAAAGAGGCGTCAACCAGCAGCAAGAAAGGCGAGGAAGTCACTGAGTATTGGGAATGGAAAGAGGGGGGGTAGAGGCAAAGGTAGCAAGAACCTTAGGCCACCCAAGCAACACTTCGAACAAGAACTTCTTCGGTCGCAGGCCGAACTTGAGCGTTTGAAAGGTTTGTAAACAAGTTATGTTGCCTTCTTATTATGGTACATTCACAATCTATCCCAATGTGTGTATATTTTTTTACAGGTGGAATTACAACTGAGGTTAAGCCAGAGCAGAAGCCCCAGCTAAAGCCTACGGTTAAACATGACTTTTCTCTTGCCTTGGGAAGTGTGGGAAAAGTAAGTGATAGAGTTGGGCACCTCACTCACAACAGTATCCTTGAGTATTATTCATAGTAATATTGACAGTTTCAAAAT